GTTTCCCGAGCATCCTGTCTTATGCAATGTTTTCTTTCACAGAATGAGTTACTGAGTGCTTTGGGGAGGTGGTCTGAGATCTACATTTTACGATTGAAAAACAACTTCTTCAAGGTCAGGAGAAAACTGGATTATCCATTTGAACGTGAACTGCACAATATTGAACACTGAAAACACCTCCCCCAACAGTTTTTTTGTTTGGTTGATTGGTTGGGTTGTTTTGCATTTCAGGTGTGACCCAGGAGGAGAAACAAAGCAGCCTGTTGTTATTTTCTCTTGTCACATTTAAAAAAGGCGTCTCTATCTGATTTGTGATAGAGGCAGCCTTAGATACAGCACAATTGAGGCTATTTCAGCCTCTAAATGGAGAGCATTTCTGCTTCTGTTTGAAGCCACAATAAGAGGTATTTCACAAACAGTGATGGGGTCAGTGCAACCAAATTCTTTTCTGGTTCCACCTGCATCCCTCACCCTTTTAACAAAATTGTTGATAGTATTACAGATATCTCCCATTTTCACCCCTCCCCTTCTCCTTCCAGCCTCTTACCCCCTCCACCCCCAGGTCTTCACTGCCCTATTGCCTGTGTCCAAGGGCTCTGTGTATAAGTTCTTCGGTTTATTGCTTCTCATCCTCCCACACCCACATCGAGGTATGTCAGTCTATTTCATGCCTCCATGCTTCAGGCCTTATTTTGTTGGTCAATTCATTTTGTTCATTAGATTCCACAAATAAGTGAGATCATGTGATATTTGTCTTTCTCAGATTGGCTTATTTCACTTAGCGTAATATTTTCCTGCTCCATTCATGCTGTCCCAAAGGGTAAGAGATCCCCTTTTTACAGCTGCATAGTATTCCATTGTGTAAATGCCCCACAGCTTTTTTATCCACTCATCAGAGCCCTGTTCCTGGGGGGCGAGGCTACTACAGTATGTAACACAATGCAGTAACACAATCATCTGCAGTATAGCATGAGCACTGATCATCCTGCGTATTTAGAGGTAGACTGTGCTATATGTAATTGGATATGAAGCATAAAGCCTTTTAACTTAGTGCTGTGGCTTATACCACATTTTGCCCTCCACCATCCCATTTTGGGCAGATTAAATATTGATCTCTTAGAAATGATAGTGGGACTAGATTGAGGAGTGTAAAAAGACTGGGGAAACATGTGGGTATGATGTCATTCACCTGATAAGAATCATTACCTTAAGAGAGAATTTGCTTTATAGGTAACAATAAAAAAATACTTATTAGTTAACTTTTCAATTATATTTGAATCATATACTCTAACCAAGAGAAATACCTGTTTGCCTTTGTTAAATGCATGTTTCAAATCTAAACTTAGTACACTTCAAGCTTCTAGAATTAGATAATATTAGATTTTCGTGGTTCTTAGGAAGTTATTTAACTTTTGCTTCAGTTTTCTCATTTCAAAATAAGAACATACCATTCTTATGCCAGGTTTAATAATCTACTCATATCTTAGCAAAGTTCTCCAGATGTTTGTCAAGATTTTGTCCTTATGTGATGGGGCACAATAATTATTTAATAAATAGTTGCGATAAAGACATTGTGAAATACATAATAAGTAGACATCTAAGCAACAAGTGTGCAGAGTTGCAGGTGACAAATTGTGAAATATCAAAAATGATTAGTGGAGAAAAAGCGCCTGAAAAATACAGTAACTTAGCTGAGTAACGAGAGCTACGATGAACATATTCTGCAAATCCATCAGCACGATGGCTCAGCGTGTCCTTATTACTCTCTGAAATTAAGAATGACAGATACCAAGACCCTATTAATATTTTAGGTGCAGCAAGCATGCGGCGGAGAAGGATGTAAATCCGTGGTCAGGTTCTGGACATTGTGAGAGGTCTGCCAGGTAGGGGGCCACGTCATCCTAGAGCTCCATCACTTCTCCTGGGGGCGTTCTCCTGGCAGCACCCAGCTGCAGGAAATGGACTGATTTGAACAGAAGAATGGATGTGCTTGGACAAGGCAAAACTCTCAGAGTATTTAGCATTCTTTATGCCCACACTGTATTTTAAGAAAAATTTTAAGGTATACACGTCAGTATATATCTTTAAATGCTCTGTCATCTGAAAAATAGTGGAGCTCTTCCAAAGAATATATATATCTGGGCGTCTGAAGAAATAGGTTTTCTCTGGCCCTAGCATGGGCAGTCTCCTTGTTCTAATCATCTTCAAATGCAACCTTAGTAACAGTGACACAATGTGTGAGATGCTTGAAAAGAATAAAGCTGAGTGAACTAAGGAAAGAAGAAAGGAAAAACATTAAGTAACACATGGAAAGTGCTCAGGGTGGTGCCCAGCACTGGAGTGACTTCCTACTTCTCCTCCTTCTCCTTCTCCTTCTCCAATTAAATTTTATTGGGGTAACATTGATCAACATGAACATACAGGTTTCATGTGTGGATTTCTAAGTGCCCACCACCCAAAAGTCAAATCTTCTCCTGTCACCTCATATCAGGATGGACCCCTTATCCCTATACCCCCTTCCCTCTAGCAACCACCAGACTGCTGTTTGTGGTCATAAGTTTCAGTTTTATGTCCCACGTATGAGTGAAATCATATGGTTCTCAGCTTTCTGCGACTTATTCACTTGGCATAATGTTCTCAAGGCCCATCCATGCTGTTGTAAATGATGCTATTTCATCCTTTCTTAAGGCTGAGTAGTGTTCCATCGTGTACATGTGCCCAGTCCAGGGCTGGCTTCCTGCTCTGCTGCGGAGAGGGGCCATTTCCCGGGAGCCTTCACTCGGCCCTCCTGTGTGGCACACCACGTGTCCTGCAGCTCTTAGGAAATGGTGCTCAGAGTTGGCTTTGGAGAGGAGGATATGTTATAGTGTCCTCTTCACAGGCCCCTGTAATCCAATGCCCGGAGACCTTGCTCCTCAGAGCAGGGGCTGCTTCTTGAGGGCTGTCGGTCGTGCCTTGGCGGCAGGTGGCTTTGAAGGATCGTTGGTTGGAAGCTTTCAGGTCCAGAGAGATCACGCGGCAGGTATTTTTCCGTTGGAATTTCTAACCTAAAAACCACAAGGAATCTCTAGAGAAGGGGGTGGGGTGGGAGGGAGCCAGAAGAGAAGAGGCATGATTCCGGGGAAAAAAGGGGAGCAGGAGGGGAAAGAAACTTTTGCCAGGAAGCCAGAATTTGTATGAGTGAGCGCTCCAGGACTAACACCCCAAAATGTAGGTTTTTCCAGAAAATACATTCTCTAATTTGAAATCAGTAGGAGCTTTGGATGTGAGATATCAGTGAGAAGAATATGTGTTCACATTTTATCATTTGCCATAAGACATGGAAAGCTACAGATATTTAATAAATATGGGTAAAACAAATTGACTTGGTGATGGTAATGGGAGGTACCATCTTGGAGGATGGCATACTGACGTATGACAAGGGCACTGATTTCAGGGCCTATTGGCCAGAGTTCCAGGCATAGCTTTGCCCTAGAATCTTGCCATAGTACCTGGAACCTTCCCCTTTCTGGACCTAATTTTCTCATCTTCTAGGATGGAGAGAGAGAAGGAGATAATCTCACATGAATTTCATGTCATCAACTCTGTCACCTGTCATAACAACCTCAGTTAGGGATTGTCTGTCTCTGCCCCACCTCTCTTGCCCCACATAAGGGCACTTGAACATGTTCTGTGCTATTCAGATTTGGGTTCCTCTAGGTTCTTTTTCTTAGTTTCTTCCTTTCATGTTCATCTCCCCCTTTCTCTAGAACTCCAGGCTTTGCCTTGAAGATGCAGGATAGTTTGCATATAGCGAGGGGTTTTATGGCTCTCCCTTTCTTTCTACAGGGAAAGCTTACTCACCTGTACGCTGTTGGCCTTTGCCCCAGTCACCAGCCCCTCATACACTCTTTAGCCCCTCCAACTAGCCTTTACCTCAAACTGGCCCAGATAAGATTTTAAAGCCTCAGTGCATTTTGCCTTTCATTCATTTTTTTTGTGTGCAAAACACATATTACTGTGCAAATCTGTGTCCACTTCACCACCAGCTCACTTCCCTTTTTTTTCTATTTTTTCAGAACTCTTCAATCTTTACTATGACAGTAGTTATAAGTACTGTTTACAGAGCGTTCACTACATGCCAGGTATTGTGATAGGCACTTATACCTCTCATCCTCGCAGCATCCCTGAAGGGTAGATGAGGAAACTGATTCTCTGATTGTTTAAACAATTTTCCCACATGGTCTCTCTCCAAAGACAGTGTTATTTCTACTGCAATAAGCTACATTTCAGCATGCAAGGTTCATAACAACTTGTTGCTATTTTGTTCAGGTCAGGTATTTTTTAAAAATATTTGTTATTGATTTCAGAGAGGAATGGAGAGGAAGAGAGAGATAGAAACATCAATAATGAGAATCATTGATAGGTTGCCTCCTGCATGCCCCACACTAGGGATTGAGCCTGCAACCTGGACATGTGTCCTGACCGGGAATCGAACCATGACCTCCTGGTTCATAGGTCGATGCTCAACCCCTGAGCTACACCAGCCAGGCCACATCAGCTTTTTATTTGTTTCAAAACCAGTAGTATATCATCAAAAAGAAAAAATATATTTCAGCATACTTTATGATATTTTATGTGTTCTTGTTATTTTACTTTGTTTTTATTAACACAGATTTTATTTTTTTAATATATTTTTATTGATTTCAGAGAGGAAAGGAGAGGAAGAGAGTGAGAGAGAAACATCATTGATGAGAGAGTATTGCTAATTGGCTGCCTCCTGCATGCCCTATACTAGGGCTGGAGCCCACAACCTGGGCATCAAACCGTGACCTCCAGCTTCATAAGTCGATGCTTAACCACTGAGCAACGCGGGCCAGGCATTAATAAAGATTTTAAAGAGTTATGATGTAGTCCATATTGTAAAAATAATAATTCCACAAGCATTTTCTTTGTTGCTTTCTTCCATAT